TGCCGCTGTCTTCATAGTGCCCGTGTTATCCTGTCGACCAAATGAGTATAAAACAAATGACGGACAGTGCTGCCCGATGTGCAACGAAGGTACGAAGAAAAGCGATGACTGCAATGAAACTTTGTAGTATTTAAACTATTGTTTTTACGAAAATGTATACAAACCTGAAAGCAGATCATTCTGAAACATAATAGCTTTATAGAAGAAAGAAAAAAAACCTAAACAAACCACAGATAAATAAAGAGGACATGACTTTAATATTTGATCTTTGCTTGATTTCGTTTTTGAAATGACACGATAGACAGAAGTGTTTCTAACATGAAATGAAGGGTTTGCTTATACAGATGACAACCTTGGTTTTTTTGTAAAAGTTTTAAACATTTGTGTTAAATGAAAACACAATCTATCCTTAGATATTTTATGTTGCATTTAAGTAATTAATAATTACTTCTTGCATCTCAGTCAAACATAAAAGGAGAAATATGTGTGTTTTATGTGTTATTGACCCAGAAAATCTGTTGTCTTCATTTTTTTCCTTCCAACAGTCAGATAAATTAATTGATACTTAGAACTGACACAGTTCACAAAATGTTTTCCAGAAGCAGTAAAATGAAGCACAAGTTGCATTAACGGGAGACAAAATATGTAAAGGCAAGAAGTCGGTAGTGAGCAGGCAACGTATGAAGTACATTCCAGGGTTCTTAAAACAATTAAGCAAGATGGATAGTATGTGTTTACATGTAAATGTGTTAACAATGTCTGTTTACACACTTTCCTGTGATTGTTTCCTTGTTCGCTTGAAGTGAAATATCCCTCTGCTACTTCAGGTTGCTCGAACTGCATGTGTCCATTTCACACTTTGGAGAGGCCAAGCATGAAATGGACACAGTGGACCAATGTGTTTATTACATGTTTTACTGTACGGGGTCAGGAAAAAGGGGCACATTGAATTTGCAGATCAGTAATGTTGTATCGCTCAGTTCACTTGTGATTTCCAAGCTGCTTGACCTACCGTAAAGTACACCCCAACACTACAACACTACTTTAGGTTCACTCTGGGATAAATGGTGAAAGTCTGACATAAATGTTGTGCTGTGTTGAACAGGTAGAGTTGTTCAGAAAGACTGCACAGTATATTCAGGAACTCAGTGCCGTTTCTGTGACCTGGGGACGTTCATGAACCAACCCAACGGCCTGTATAACTGTTTCCCCTGCACATCCTGTGACACAGGTACAGTTAGATGGGAAATCCTTTGTAAATTTTAAATTAAAAAAATAAATCTTTCATTTAAAAGTAAATTACAGAATATTTTTACACTAATGTTTTTGTTTTGTTTTTTTTAGGCCATGGTCTTTTTGTCAAGCAGAACTGTACAGCAACAACTGACACAGTGTGTGACGTTTTAAATGGATATTACTGTAAAGATTTGATAGACAGTAACGGATGTAGTTTGACAGAGAAACATTCACATTGTGCAGCTGGTCAGAGGATAAAAGAACCTGGTAAGAAAAATTAAAGTCTAAGACCATTTAGATGAGCTGATAAATTATAAATTTTTTTGTGTAACAATGAATGTGTTTCTTTCAGGGACCAGCAGAAGTGACACAGTGTGTGAAGACTGTCAGCCAGGCTTCTTTTCCAAGGACGGTGTGAGCTGCACGGCTTGGAAAGTGTAGGTCATAATTTATAATAAAATCACTCTAAAAGTGTTTAATATATTCAGTTATTGATCATCAATGTCTTAATGGAATCTCTCATATACTTGGGACTAGGGCTGTGCCACATCATATCATCTGCAATAATACCGGTATTATATTATATACTGTGTGTTGCTATAGCAACATTATGTGTTAGTTTCCTAGTGTTTATGACAAGGAGTCAAAACCGTGCATGTCTAAATGTAAGAGCAGTGTTTCAATGATGATTTAGTAACTAAAAATGGAGCTACTTCAGCAGCCTCCAGCAAACACAGGAGAAAACATGCAGGAAATCTGTTTGTAAAAAGTGGAAAACACTCCGTTGAGTAAAACGAGGCTATGAAGACACATGAGGAGACAGGAGCAGTTACTAGCTGCACTCACTAGTTAGACTGTATATAACAGGAGGAGCAAACAATGTGTGGAAATTAGTGATGCAGTAACATGATGGAGGCAGGACTTTAAGTTGGTTAAAATCCTGACATGATAAATATTTTTTGATTTGTTAATAACAGTGTTAAAAGTTTTTTATACTTTATTTGAAAATTCCAGGGAAAATACTACCTGGGCTACTTTTGAACTTACGTTTTCTTTTGTTAGATTCACACTTCAGTTTAAGTAGTCTGACACTGATGACGGTAGCTCTCTGGAAAAGAAGGGTGTCAGTACTTAGAGTTATAAATGCTGCTACCTGCAACCATTTTAAAACTCAATGCTTTTTTTCTATATTTTCATATCTCAGTGATATATTACCCACCTCCACACGGGACTTTGGGATTTGCCCCCCTTTAGTAACCTGAGAACCAGTGATTCAGCTGATTAAACAGAAAATTAGCCAACTTTTGATTTTAATGTTGTAATTGTAGAATAAATACTTTGAATTTGTTGAAAATAAAGTTTGATTAATTTAAAATACAGTCATATATTATCAGAGATTCATTAATAGTAACAGCGTGGTGTCTCAGTTACTGTGTATAGAAGATAAACATGATTACCTCTGGAAAGGAGGTCATGTTTTTAATAGGGTGTGTGTGCATGTGTGCCATTCTTTCTGTAAACATGATAGCTTGAAAGGTTTTGAGTGACTTCTGATAAAACCTTGTTGGAGTGTAGAACTGACAAAAATCCTCATAACTTAGAGCAGTGTTTCCCAACCACTGTACCGCAGCACATAAGTGTGCCATGAGAAATGATCAGGTGTGCCGTGGAAGATTATCTGGTTCCACCTAGCGTCCGGAATGAGTCACGTGCAGAACAATTACATTCTCTTCCACTAGAGGGCAGTACAACTATCTGCTCTAATTAAATGAGTTGCCAACTGCCAGTAAAACAGAAGAAGACCAAGAAGAAATTACATAATAGTCATGCTGTGAGCGAGACCACGCAGCGTGTAATAGCAATAAATAAATATTTAAAAAGAAAAAGTAGACAATCTGACTTGGGTCCTGGAGAAAATTCCGACCCAGATGATGCCCCTAGCATGAGTAGTGGTCAGAAGAAAGCAAAAAAAGTGTACTGGGGACAAACCGAACCCTTTCCGCTATGCACGGGCAAAAATTATCAATATGCTTTTTGTGACATTTTTCTTTGGTGGTGTGC